GACTATAGTCCCAGCTGCTTGGGAAGCTTGGCTCAAAGAATTGCTTGAGCCCAAGAGTTGGAGGTTTCTGTGAGCTATAGGGCTCTGCCAAGGGCGACAAAGTGAAACTCTGTTTCACAAAAAAAAAAAAAGTGCTGCCTGAGTCTCAAGGTGGTTGTAAGGATGAAATGAAATGAGGTAAATTATTCATTTATTCCTTCAATAAGCATTTATTAGCACCTACTGTGTGCTGGGCACTATTTTAGGTAAGTAGAATAGTGTCTCCACTATTCTGGAGACACTGCAGAGAGCAGGACTGACAAAAATTCTTAACTTTCTGAAAGGGACAGAAAGTAAACATAGTAAATAAGTAAATGAGGTCTGGCATGATGGTTCATACCTATAATCCTAGCACTTTGAGAGGCTAAGGCAGGAGGATTACTTGTGAAGCCAGGAGTTGGGACCAACATGAGCAACATAGCAAGACTCTGTCTAAATTTAACAACAATTTAAACATAAAATTAGCCAGGTGTGGTGGCCCATACCTATAGTCCCAACTGCTTGGGAGGCTGAGACAGGAGGATCACTTGAACCCAGGAGCTGGAGGCTGTAGTGAGCTGTGCTGACAGCACTGCACTCCAGCACGGACAACACAGTGAGACTCTGTCTCAACAAATAAATAAACAAACACACTGAGAGATACTAGGATGTAATAGTAATAATACAAAAACTAACACTATAGCATCAGCTAGAGGCTGTGGCAGCTCCCAGCACATGAGTCTGGAGAGGGTCAGGGCCTTTGAGAGGTGACTGGTGTGTGCACCCCTAATGAGGAGGAAGGCAGAGAGTTTACAAGGAACCAATGCATGAGGTGGGTCCCCAGGAAGCCACAGTTACAGAATGGCACTTCTGTCTAGGAAATATGCTTCTGTCTTGTTCCCAGGTCAACTCTCCCCCAGGCCTGGTCTCATAACATTGAGAACATTTCTCTTTTTGAAACTGAGTCTTACTCTGTCACCCTCGGTAGAGTGCTGTAGCATCATAGCTCACAGCAACTTCAAACTCTCGGGCTCAAGTGATCCTCTTGCCTCAGCTTCCCAAGTAGCTGGGACTACAGATGCCCACTGGCTATTTTTATTTACTTTGTTTTTTGAGACAGAGTCTCAAGCTGTCACCCTGGGTAGAGTGCTATGGCATCACAGGTCACAGCAACCTCAAACTCTTGGGCTTAAGTGAGTCTCTTGCCTCAGCCTCCCAAGTAGCTGGGACTGCAGGCACCTGACACAGTGCCCAGCTATTTTTTGTTTGTTTGTCGGTTGGTTGTAGTTGTCATTGTTGTCTGGTGGGCCCGGGCTGGATTCGAACCTGCCAGCTCCAGTGTATGTGGCTGGTGCCCCAGATGTTTGAGCTATAGGCACCGAGCCAGTCCACCAGCTATTTTTAGTAGAAATGGGGTCTTGCTCTTGCTCAGACCTTGAACTCCTAAGCTGAAGCAATCCACCCACCTAGCCTCCCAGATTGCTGGGATAACAGGCGTGAGGAACCACACCTGGCCGGAGAATATTTCTATGCTCATGTATCACTAACACTTTTCTATCACTGTCACTATTATGTGTTGAGTACTCGCCATGTGTCAAGTATATCTTCAAGAGTTATCTTGACTTTGCCCACTATTCACCCCCATCTCCTGACTCCAAGTACTCTAGCCCCGGTATTTTGTCTACCTACACCAACACTGTCTCCTCTGTCCTGGTCCCCAGCTCCTACCCTTGCCCCAAAGTCTGTCCCTTAAATAGCCCCTAGAGGCCAGGTGTGGTGGCTCATGCCTGTAATCCTAACATTCTGGGAGGCTGAGGTGGGTGGACTGCCTGAGCTCATGAGTTGGAGACTAGCCTGAGCCAGAGCGAGACCTCGTCTCTGTAAAAATAGCTGGGTCTAACAGGCACCTGTAGTTCCAGCTACTTGGGAGGCTGAGGCAGGAGAATCACTAGAGAAAAGAAGGCTAGGCAAGACAATTAAAAAAAAAAAAGAGTTCTGGGTGGCGCCTGTGGCTCAGTGCATAGAGCTCTGGCCCCATATACCAAGGGTGGCGGGTTTGAACCTGGTCCCGGCCAAACTGCAACAAAAAAATAGCTGGGTGTTGTGGCAGGCAGCTACTTGGGAGGCTGAAGCAAGAGAATCACCTAAGCCCAGGATTTGGAGGTTGCTGTGAGCTGTGACACCCCAACACTCTACCAAGGGTGGCATAGTGAGACTCTGTCTCAAAAAAAAAAAAAAAAAAGAGTTCAAAACCAGCCTGAGCAAGAGTTAGACCCCATCTCTACTAAAAATGAAAAACTGAGGCAAAAGGATTGCTTGAGCCCAAGAGTTTGAGGTTGCTGTGAGCTATGATGCCAAGCACGCTACAGAAGGCAACAAAGTTTGACTCTGACACAAAAAAAGCCCCCAGAGGGCGCCTGTGAGCACCTGAGTCAGGGCCTGCCCTCCTCTGCCCACAGCTCACCATGGCTACCACCTCCCTCAGGTTCAAAGCTTAAGTCCTTCCCAGAGCCCACCAGTCCCTGCACCACCTGTCCCAACCCCTCCCTTCCCCCTTCTCCCTCTCTCTTCCTCCTCACTCTGCTCCAGCCACACAGGCCTCCTCCTGTGCTTCCCACAGGACAGGTGAGGTCCTGCCCCAGGACCTTTGCACAGGGTGTACCCTCTGCCTGGAATACTTTCCTCCACATTTCCACATAGTTCATGCCTTCACCTCCTCCAGGTCTTTGCTCAAATGTTTCCTTCTGGCCAGGAGCTTCCTTAGCACTGGGATTACAGGTACAAGCCACTGTGCTCAACCTTTAATAGAAATATTTTAATAGGGCTTGGCACCTGTAGCTCAGCAGGTAGGGCACCAACCATATACACCAGAGCTGGCAGGTTCAAACCCAGCCCAGGCCTGCCAAACAGCAGTGACAACTGCAACCAAAAAATAGCCAGGCATTGTGGTGGGCACCTGTAGTCCCAGCTACTTGGGAGGCTGAGGCAAGAGAATCCCTTGAACCCAAAAGATTAAGGTTTCTATGAGCTGTGACACCACGGCACTGTACCCAGGGCAACAGCTGGAGACTCTGCCTCAAAAGGAAAAAAAAGAAATATTTTAATATAATAATAGGGCTGGCAGTAATAACAATTCCTTTTTCACCCTATTTAATCATGCCCAGGAGAGGAGCAGAAAGAGTGTGCTGATTTATGAACACATCTGTGGGAACTCAGAGAAGTTAGGCAGTTCTCTAGAGGTCACATAGCAAGGCAGTCACAGAGTCCAGGGCAGGGACCCCTGTGGGCAGGCTCGAAGTAGGCAGGGTCCTGGTAACATTGTGGTCCTTGGCAGGTGTTCATCGCCCAGACAGTGTTGCGGAACCCACCTGCAATGAGCCCTGCTGGGCAGTTGTCTCAAGCCACTGAGAAGCAGCTGCTGATCTACCTGCGTGTGGCCACCTGGAACCAGATTCTGGACCCCTGGGTGTACATCTTGTTCCGCCGTGCTGTACTTCGGCGCCTGCACCCACGCCTCAGTGCCCGGAGCAGGTCACTCTCCCTGCAGCCCCAGCTCCCACAGGGCTCTGTGTTGCAGTAGGGCCTGGGTGGCACAACTGGACATCACCCCTGCCTACATGTCCCCTGCCAAGCCCTCAGTCCTCTTTGACTGTCGCATCTGCCTGTCCTGATAACTACACAAGCTGTGTGCTGGATGGATGGAGGATTTTAGCTGCAGGATTTGGGTCATCTTCCATCCACCCTGGGCATACTCCAACTACTTCCTGACCCTGTCCAAGGCCTGTCCCCCTGCCTTAGCCCTTGTCCTCTACTTAGACCCCCTCCCCTTCTCAGAACTCTTCCCAACCCCAGGGAGGGGAGTTTTGGGGGTGCTGAGAAGAAAATCTTGTAAGGCTTAGAGTGGCCAAGGTCTCCCTTCCAGAAGTCCTCCTGACACTGACATGGAGGAGTCTTTGACCCCTGAAAATGACCTGCTTGCTGGGGTACAGTTGCTTCCCTTTGAGATCCTAACCTGGGAAGGCTATCTAGAAAAGCCTGAATGTGACTTGGGAGGACACCTCCTCTCTTGCCAACATATATTCCCACCTTTGGCTTTTTCCCTTTGGGTCCTGAAGTTGTCAACCTTGAGATTTATGGAGATTGGCTGGGTTCTAATGCCTCTCCCACCTCATTTATGGAATGTTTTTTTTCCTTTAAAAAAATTTTTTTTGAGGCAGGGTCTTGCTCTATAGCCCAGGCTGGAGTGCAATGGTGCCATCATAGTTGACTGAAACCTCAAACTCCTAGGCTCAAGCGATCCACCTGCCTTAGCCTCCCAAATAGCTGGGAGTACAAGTATGCACCACCAGGCATGAGTAATTTTTCTATTTTTTTGTAGAGATGGGGTCTGGTTATGTTGCCTAGACTGGCCTTGAACTGGCCTCAACTGATCCTCCTGCCTCAGCTTCTGCAAATTCTGGGATTACAGGCATGAGCCACAGCATCCAGCTAATCATTTCCTAAGTACTTTATAAATGTGTCTCCTTGAATTCTCTCAACAACTATGGGGGATTGAACCCGTTTTGCAGCTGAGAAAGAGGGAGGGAGAGAAAGATGTACACAAGACCATGGAGTGAATCCCTGCTTCCTCCACTCCTGACTAGGTACCTATGTCCATTCTTCTACTCAGTAACGTCTCAGACTCCCCACCCAGTCGGTGTTCAATAAATACTGGTGGAATGGACCAATGACCAAGCTTTTCTGGAGCACCTTGTAGGCACAGCACATGTGCTTATGCCCATATAGTGGTCGATAAGGATTTTGGCATACAGTAGGTGCTCATGAGGCATGCAGCCTTGCCTTAGACTCACCCAGCCCCTAGGTCCCCCAGCTCCACCTTCTGCTTTCCCTGAAAGCCCCCCCAAAGGACACACTGGCTTCAGAGCTTTAAGGTGCCTTTATTCACCTGGAGCCCTCACAGTGAATGAGGACAACCTGCCTGCACCCTCCTCCCACCAGGGCCTGGATCTGCTTACACCGCTGGGAGCCAGGCCCCCGAAACCAAAGCCCAGTGTTTCCACTGTGGCAACCCCCTCTGCCTGCTGGGTGAATGAGGTCACCAGCTGCTTCTGGAGGACCCAGGTTGGAAGGTCTAGGAGAGGGGAATACAGCAGCCTTAGTAGTGCCCCAGCCCCCAACCCGTAGCCCCACCACCACGAGAGAGGGGCCCTGGCTTTCTAAGCATGGGGGAGTGGGCAGACCCCTGAGCTGGTGAGTTGAGGGGCTGGGAGATCAGGAGGACTTCCCTGGAGGCAGGACCAGGAGTGACAGGTGTTCTGGGAGACTTGGACTTCTGGGGTCCCAGCTGTGGCTTAGGGGACAGGGCTGGCTTCTGGGGAGCTAAGGAGACCTGTGGTTGCAGGGCCATGTGGGAGGCTGTTGGGTCTCGGCCAGGGCCAGGGCAGGCCTGGGTGCTTTGTGCCAGATCATGGGGCTGAGACAGAGGCTGGGGGACTTTGCTAGGGGCCGGAGTGGGGGCTCTGGGTGGGGCACCTGGGGGCTGAGGTTGGAGTGGGGCAGGGGTGTCAGACTGAGCTCTAGGGTCCAGGCCGGGAATTGGTGGATGGAGTCCATTTTTGGAGCTGAGCCAGATTTTTGAACTGATCTGAGCTCTAGAACTAGAATTGGCTCCAGAACTAAGGTGGGCTCCAGAGCTAGGCCGAATTCTTACACTGGCCTCGGTCTCTGAGCTAAGCTGAATCCTGGAACTGAACTGGGTTCTGGAACTTAGGTGGGCTTCAGAACTGGGCTCAATTCTTGCAGAGCAGAGCTGGGTGCCAGAACTGGTTTGGGTTTTGGAGCTGAGTTGGGTTCCAGAAACAGGCTGAGTTTCAGAACTAAGGTGGGCTCCAGAGCTGGTTTGAATTCTTGAACTCGTCTGGGTCCCAGAGCTGAGCTTGGTTCTAGAACTGGGCTGACTTCCAGAGCTGGTCTGCTTCCCAAAGTCCAGCTGAATACCAGAGCTGGCTTGGGTTGTGGTCTGGAATTGGAATCTGGAACTTGTTAGGGTTTTAGAGAGGAGTTGAGTACCTGAGGTGGTTTGAACTCCTAGACTGTGTTGGGTCCTGGAGCTGGGCCTGCTTTCAGAACTAGATAAGGTTATGGAGCTTAACTTAGTTGCTACATTATTCTGGGACCCAGAACTAGACTGAATTCCAGAGTTTAGCTGGATTCTAGAACTTGGCTGGGTCTCAGCAACTGACTGTGTTTTGGTGGTGGCTAGGATTTCGGGAACAGTCTGTTCTTCAGAACTGAGCTGAGTTCTGGAGCTGGGTGGGGTGCCTAAGCTGGACTGAGCTCTGAAGCTTGGCCAGGCCTTGAAGTTGGTCTGGGTGCTTGAGCTGGACTGCATTCTGGAGCTAGTTTGTGCTTTGTGGGAGGAGTGGGGCTCCATTCCGGGCTGTGCCCTGGAGCTGGGCCTTGTGTCACAGCTGGATGGGGATCCAGAGCTGGATGGGGATCCAGAGCTGGTCTGAATTCTGGAGTTAGGCCTGGTTGCAGCACGAGGCTGGGCTCTAGAGTGGGGCACTCTCTCAGAGCTGAACTCATCTCTGGACCTAGACTGAACTACAGGATGAGGGGAGGTACTTGGGTGCAAGTGGGTTTTAGAGCGGGACTGAGGTTGGAATCCGGAATGGGCAGCAGCATGGATCTGGGTCCCTGAGCTGGTCTGAGATCTTGAAGAGGGTTGGGTATGGGTGCTGTCTTTGAATCCTGAGCTGCCTTGGGTTCTGTAGCTGGGCTGCTTCTTGAATCTCACCTGAGTCCCAAAAGTAATAGGTATTTTGGAGCTGGACTGAGTCTCCAGGTCTGTCATGGCGTTGTTTTGAGTTTGAGAGTCAGGTTGAGTCTTAAGGCAGAGCTTAATGTCTGAGCTGGCCTGGGCTCTGGAAGTAGGACTATTCTCTGAGGTAACTGGGGTCTTAGAACTTGCCTGGGTTCCAGAACTTGGCTTGATGTCAGGGCTCAGTTGGACTGTAGAAATGAACTTAGTCTCAGAACTGGCCTGGGCTTCAAAGCAGGGCTTGGTCTCCGATCTGGGCTGTGTTTCAGAGCTGAACTTGGCCTCAGAAGTGGGCCTGGTCTCGGAGCCAGACAGGACTCTAGAGGTGGACTCTATCTGAGAGCTGGCCTGGGCTGTAGAGCATTGTGTCGCCTCAGATCTGGGCTGGATTCTAGAGGAGGATTGGGTTTGAGAGCTGGATTGGATCTCCAAATTAGATTGGGTTCTAGAGAGAAACTTCACCTCAGAGCTGGCCTGGGTTCTGGAGCAGGGCTGGGTCTCAGGTTTGGACTGGGTTCTGGAGCAGGGTTCAGGTAGGGGGCTAGGCTCTGAGCTGGGGCTGTGTGCAGCCCCGGGGCAGACTAGCCACAGGCCTCCCTGGCCTCTCCGATGGCGGCCCACACCTCCACCACAAACTCGTCTGGGAAGGCAAACTCCCCCAAGACGGAGTCCAAACAGCGTGCAAACTCCTGGACACTCACTGTCTTCTTGGACGTCTCCACCATGGTGGACGCTGTGGGCCATGTGGGAGGGGAAGTCAGTGGGGACATTCTCTAGGCCTCAACTTCTCACTGAGACCCCTGCCCTCTCCCATGGACTTTCCTCCCCCCAGGGACCCCCCAGCTTACCCTGGCCCCTTACCCAGCTCTGGGTCCCGAATGCCCATGTAACTTTCAAGCAGGTCATCCACCTTCCGAGACGCCTCCTCCTCAAACTCACTAGGCTGGACAGGGGAGGGAAGGGGAAAGTGAGAAGCCTCTGGTGACTCCAGCTCAGCCCCCTCCTGGCTCCCACCCAAGGGAAAAGCAGACTGGAGCTCATGCAAGTCCTCAGCATTACTGCCCCACCTTTCAACGAAGACCCATTCTGCAAGCAGGGAAACTGAGACTGAGAAGAGCATCTCATCCAGGCTGCACCACATCAGCAGCTGAGTTCTAGGTGCAAGAACCCTAGAAGACCATTGTCCCGGCTCGGCACCTATAGCTCAACCGGCTAAGGCGCCAGCCACCTACACCTAAGGTGGCAGGTTCGAATCCCCAGCCCAGGCTCGCCAAACAACAATGACGGCTGCAACCAAAAAATAGCTGGGCGTTGTGGCGGGCGCCTGTGGTCCCAGCTACTTGGGAGGCAGAGGCAAGAGACTCGCTTGAGCCCAGGAGTTGGAGGTTGCTGTGAGCTGTAATGCCAGGGCACTCTACCCAGGCGGACAGCTTGAGGCTCTGTCTCAAAAAAAAAAAAAAAAAGAAGACCATTGTCCCACTCACTCACCACTTCCTCCACTGTGGCAGCCCCCCCAGAACGAAGCCGCAAGGTCTCCCTCCCACTGGTCACTTTCGCTTCCACAGGACATTTGCTGCTCCGGCTTCTCTGGCCAATCATATCTGGAAGGGACAGAATAGGCAGCAGGTATGTATTCTGGGTGGATCCACATCTTTGCAAAACCAAAACCCTGAGAAGCCACCAGCTGAGCCTTTCTAGAACCTTCTTCCCCTTCAAAGTCCTTCTTAAGTCCATGGAGTGAATCTCCAGAGACCCCATGGAATTCTCTTCCTGTCCCCAAGAAAATAAACCACGAGTCCAGAATTATAATAGAATAGGTCTAGAACCAATATACCCGTCCTGCAACCCAAACTTCTCTCCTCCTCTTAAAATGACTCTAGAAGGGACTGCTTATGACACTGTTTGTGGTTGGAGGATTGATTTAGGTAAGTTTTTGCTGTAGAACTCACTTTTTTTTTTTTTTTTTTTGCGACAGAGTCTTACTATTTTGCCTTTGGTAGAGTGCCATAGCATCATAGCTCATAGCAACTTCAAACTCCTAGGCTCAAGTGATCCTCTTTTCTCAGCCTCCTGAGTAGCTAGGACTATAGGTGCCCGCCACAATGTCCAGCTACTTTTTAGAGATGCGCTCTCGCTCTTGTTCAGGCTGGTATCGAACTCCTGATTTCCAGTAATCCACCTATCTCAGCTTCCCAGATTGTTAGGATTACAGGTGTGAGACACCACGCCCAGCCTCACTCTTACTTCTTAACTTTTAGGCATGGCTTTTAAAGTTCATAGCGGTGATACAGGGCAGACCTAGAACCCCCAAACTGAATGCTGCCCACTTTCCCTGCCTAGGATCTCTCTTCAGATGTGCCAGGGCACTTCTAGAACCTCTTGCTCTGGAATGATGCTACCCAAAGGGCCAGTCCATGATGAGATAAAGACATTGTGCCAGTATGTAAATCAACATGCTGCTTCCTTCATTGAGAAGTCTAGCTGTTTTTTAAAATCTGCTAAAATAAACAGGACAATATACATTTTAGAGCAAAGGTTCTCAACTAGGGGGTGATTTTGCCCTGCAGGTGGTATTGGAGATGTCTGGAAACACTTTTGGTTGTCACAGCTGGTATGTATGTGGGTGCTACAGGCATCTGATGGATTGAGGGCAGGGTCATTGCTCAACACCCCATAGTGCCCAGGATGCCCCACCAGGATGATATGGCCCCAGTATCATAGAGCTGAGTCTAAGAAACAATATATATATTTTTTGAGACAGAGTTTCATTTGTCACCTTGGTAGAGCGCCATGATGTCATAGCTCACAGCAACCTCAAACTCTTGGGCTCAAGTGACCTTCTTGCCTTAGCCTCCTTAGTAGCTGGGACTATAGGGACCACCACATGTCTGGCTAATTTTTTTTTTTTTTGGTAGAGACAGTCTCATTTCATCACCCTTGGTAGAGTGCCATGGCATCACACAGCTCACAGCAACCTCCAACTCCTGGGCTCAAGCAATTCTCTTGTCTCAGCCTCCCGAGTAGCTGGGACTACAGGTGCCTGCCACAGTGGCTGGCTATTTTTTTGTTGCAGTTTGGCCGGGGCCAGGTTTGAAACCCGCCACCCTCAGTATATGGGGCTGGTATCCTACCCACTGAGCCACAGGCACCACCCTGTCTGGCTATTTTTTAGCAACAGAGTCTTGCTCTTGCTTAGACTGGCCTTGAACTCGTGAGCTCAGGCAATCTACCCGCCTCAGCCTCCCAGAGTGCTAGGATCACAGGTGTGAGCCACTGCATCCAACAAATTGCAAAATCATATTCTAGGCTAGGCATAGTGGCTCACGCCTATGATCCTAGCACTCTGGGAGGCTGAGGTAGGTGGGTATCTTGAGCTGACAAGTTCGAGATCAGCCTGAGCAAGAAGAGACCTCCCAGATCTACTAAAAATGGAAAAACTAGGTGGGTGTCTGTAGTCCCAGCTACTTGAGAGGCTGAGACAAGAGGATTACTTGAGCCCAAGAGTTTGAGGTTGCTGTGAACTATGACGTCATAGCACTCAACCCCAGGGCAACAAAGTGAGACTCTGACCTCTGTCTCAAGACAAACAAACAAATATATTCTTATCTCATTTCTGAGTGGGACCAGTTCCAGGCTTCTTTTTCTTTTCTTTTCTTTTTCTTTTTTTTTTTGAGACAGAGTGTCACTTTCTCACCCTTGGTAGAATGCCATGGCATCACAGCTTACAGCAAGCTCAAACTCTTGGCTCAAGTGATTCTCGTGCCTCAGCCTCCCAAGTAGCTAAGACTACAGATACCTGCCACGACACCCGGCTATTTTTAGAGATAGGGTCTCATTCTTGCTCAGACTGGTTTTAAACTCGTCATGAGCTCAGGCAATTCACCTGTCTTGGCCTCCCAGAGTCCTAAGCTTCTTTTTCTTTTTCTTTTTTTTTTTTTTTTTTGAGACAGAGCCTCAAGCTGTCCCCCTGGGTAGAGTGCCGTGGCATTACAGCTCACAGCAACC